TAGTATATGCTACATAATCACTGTCACACATATACAGCATATACATATGTACACATATACAGATACAGGCTCAGAATTTATGCAATTTAAAAATAAAAGACTAGGGCTCTTAACAGTGCATTACAAATACAGAAAGAATTCACCTATAATTTTCTGCATCTGAAACATTTCCAAACATGCTGACAATGTCAAAAATGTTCTTAACAAAAGCCTGTTTCCTTCTAGTATCTCCTAGAAATATTTAACTTTCGGGGAAGTTACTCATACCTTTGCTTCTTCACATCCGTTTTCCATTTGCTTTTAAGCTACAAGAATCACTTAACCTTTACAGACAATAACAGCACCGAAAACACACCTGCCTTCCCACTGCCGCTGTGCAAAGGAAGGTCAGATGGAATTACAGCGAGTTAGGAAAGTCGTTGGTGTGAGGAGGAGCTTTAGAGAAGCAGCCAGATGGGTCTGCTGAGGGCCAGCTGTGGGAAGGGGCAGGTGCTCCCTCTCCGTGAGCTGCCGCAGGGAAGTGCCTTGTACCTCTTTCCTCAGCCTTTGCACAGCAAAGCCTCTCCCCAGAAAGGGCAGGACTGGGGCTCCAGGTCAGGCCAAAAGCCTTAGGGCGGCACAACAAATATATGACAGACCAAAAAATAAATAAAATAAATAAAAATGTCGGGAGAGAGGGCAAGGAGGCCGAGATGACCAGAGGGGCAGCACGCTTTCTTGCAAGCTTTGACCGGGGGCGGCTGTTCCGCTGCCAGGGCTCACGCCGCCGCGCGGCAGCCGGGACAGCAAACGCACCGAAACGCCGCCCGGAGCCACGCGGGGCGTTTAGGCGTCTCGGCGACACTGCTCCCAGGCCCCCCGACCCACGGCGACACGGGCGAGGGCGGGCGGGGGTCTCGGGACGGCTCCTTTTGTTCCCGCCGCTCTCCCGTTTTCCGCCGGGCAGCAGCACGGGGGGCCCCGCCGCGGCTCCTCGGCGCGATTCCCGCCGCCCGCGGGAGCCCCCTCACGGGCGGCTGCCCGGCGCAACGGCTCCAACGGCCGCAACGGCTCCAACGGCCGCCCCCTGGCGGCGGGGCGGGGCGCGGCCGCTCTGCCCTCCCGCCGCGGCGCGGGCTCCCCGGCTCCCTCCCGGGGCGCCCGGCCCGGCCGCGCCTCGGCGCCGCTCGCCCCGCGGCGGCCGTTACCGCCGGGCGGGCGGCAGCGGGAAGGCAGGAGGCGGCGGCGGGGTCCCCGCGGCGGCCGTTACCGCCGGGCGGGCGGCAGCGGGAAGGCAGGAGGCGGCGGCGGGTCCCCGCGCGGCGCCGCTCGCCGCTCGCACTCACCCATTGACGTGGAGCGGGGCTGCGCCCGGCGGCGGAACCGCGCGCAAACTTCGCGGCGGGGGACGGAGGCGCGCGGCGCCGCGGCCGCCGGTGGGCACCGTCCCCCTCCTTGCCGCCGCCGCCGCCTCTCAGCACCCGCGGCAGCGCGGCTGCATGGCGCTTCCTGCGGGGAACGCTCCGGCTTCCCGCGGCGGGCGCGTGGGATTAAAAGAGAGGAAAAAGAAAAAAAAAAGAAAAAGGAAGGAGCGGGGCGGGCTAGGCGCTGCCGCCTGGGTGCCGCTGCGCTGCGCTGTGCGCGGCGACGGTGCGAGCGGCGCCCGCTCTCTCTCCCCGCCCCGGGCGGCGGCGGCTGCTGCTGCTGCCGCCG